AGTGGCTGCATGTGCTTAGTCGCTGGCTGGGGTTAAACCATGACACCTTTGCTGAAATCTTGGGTCAGTCAATGAACCTGTCTTGGCTGAGGATAGCTACTAAGTTATTACGTGGGGAGCTGCCTGCTCATACTTTGGGTTATGCCCATGGTGTGTGGTGGTTAAATCCTGTCCTTGTTTGCTGTCCATGCCGCTGGTGTGTTGTAGGTCAAGTTGAGAATGCCGTTGGTAGTCTGAGGAAGAGATGAGTTTCTCTTGTAAGGGACTGGGCTTTGTTAGGTGGAATCATGCGTGATCCCTCCAAATCTCATGAACCAAATCTGGAAGCCTCACAAAGACTGTGGGTTATATTGGGGTCTGTAGCATGGGCTGGTGGAACCTCTTAGTGTGGCTTAGTGTGGATGGTGGGTGTCTGGCCTTTGCCATGTGTTGCACTGTCACAGACTTCTGGAGGTTAGATATCAAAAGGGCTTGTGAGGAATAATACTGATAAAACAGAGTTTTTTTATGTCATCCAAGCATGTGATCTTCATTTCCCTCTCTGCAGGTGTTTAATCCGAAGAACTTCAGACATCCTCTCCAAATACCTGCCAGTGAAGATTGAGCAGGTGGTCTGCTGCAGGTACCAAAAAGCTTGTACTGTGCCTGGGAAAAGGGAGGAGCCACAGGAAGGGCTAAAAAGTTGCAAAAATCCCTTCAATGCTTATGGTGACTGCTTCCCTCTAGGAAAGAGATTGTAGCCATTGGCAATATGTTGCTTTTCTTCCTGCTGCAGGGATGGACAGCCCACAACTGGTGGTTCTGCCAGTCAGCTGGTGTGCTCTGGGCAGCTGTGTACAGCAGAGCCCTGGGCCATGCAGAGTATCTGCAAGCTTATCTTCCAGCTCTGGGCTGAGATATCAATGCTCTACCATCAGCCTTGGAGGCGGTTCTAGGCTCTCTGTGCTGTAGCTAAAAAACTGAGCACTGGAGCTAAAAGGAACGCACTGTGTAGAGGGAGGAGGAAGGATAGTGTTGGTTTGGGGGCAGGCTGAGACTGCAGAGCTCTTGTTCTGTTTCAGGCTGACACCTCTGCAAGCTGAGCTGTATAAGAACTTCCTGAAGCAAGCCAAGCCAGTGGAGGAGCTGAAGGAGGGCAAAATCAGTGTGTCATCTCTCTCCTCCATCACTTCCCTGAAGAAGCTTTGCAATCGTGAGTTGTTCCACTCGTGCAATGGATTTGTTTTATGCACTGTTGTTGTTGTTGTTGGGGTTTATTATTTTTTTTTATTATTTTTTCTTGGTCTCCCCTGTGCACTCCACAGTCTGAGCTCTCTTTGTTCTCCAGACCCTGCTCTTATCCATGATAAATGTGTGGAAGAGGAAGAAGGTTTTATGGGAGCCCTGGACTTGTTCCCTGCTGGCTACAGCACCAAATCTGTGGAGCCCCAGCTTTCAGGTACTGTGGAATTTAGCAGTACAAATGTGCTGCCTAACACAGGCAATCATGAGACTCTATTTAGCAACTTATCAAGTGTCCCTCCAAAGTCTGGAATTTGGGAACTTCTGCTCTAGCTTTCTTCTTTTTCTCTTTTTTTATCCAGGAAAGATGCTGGTTTTGGACTACATCCTTGCTGTTACAAAAAGCACCAGTAACGACAAGGTGGTTTTAGTGTCTAACTACACTCAGACACTGGACCTATTTGAGAAGCTCTGCAGGAACAGAAGGTTTGTCTTTGGGCTTCATTTGTTTAATCCTGCAAGACCGTACTTGCAGCCTACACTGTAAAAGAGTCTGGCTATTTTTGAAGTTTCTATCAGCAGGAATTTGTGATCTGTCTTTTACTTCGGGTGTTCCTGAATTGGAACTAATGTAGCTTGTGATTTGGCTACTGGGGTCATTCAACAGAAAAGCTCTGGCCCTCTGCAAAAGCGCCTAAAGCCCAGGCCCTTGTTACGAGGCTGTTTGTGAAAATTTTTTCTCTTTCAAGTAGCATACTCTAAAGGTCGCAGCAGTCTGATTGTAGTAAATGCTGTATATTCTAGGTATTTATATGTCCGGCTGGATGGCACCATGTCCATTAAAAAGAGAGCGAAGATTGTGGAGCGATTCAACAGCCCCTCGGTAAGTAGAACCTGCCAGATGTGAGCAGCTCTCCTGCCAGTTCTGAATGCTGGGAGTAAAAGCATGGCTGCCTCTGTAGTTTAATCCAAGCCTGCCTTTTTCCACAGAGCCCTGAATTTATCTTCATGTTAAGCAGCAAAGCAGGTGGCTGCGGTTTGAATTTGATCGGGGCTAACAGACTGGTTATGTTTGACCCAGACTGGAATCCAGCTAATGATGAGCAGGCCATGGCTCGTGTGTGGCGGGATGGCCAGAAGAAGACATGCTACATCTATCGACTGCTTTCAGTGAGTCTTACTCCTCTCAGCTCCTCAACATGGAGTTCTTGGTGCCAACCCAGACTGCAGCTGCTGTGATTGGGACCAGAAGGGGAAGAACTCTTTTGTGTTGGTGACCAGAATTGATTGGAACTTAATTGCTTCCTACCCTTAGATGTGTTGCCATGGAAAACCATGAAGGGTCAAGCTGGAGGGTCATTACTATAAGCTGTGGTTTCTAATGGTGACTGGCTTCTGAGAAATAGATACAACTGCAGCTTTCCAGATCAGATGCTCCTTTGAAGTCATTTAGGCATCTGACTTCTTTAATTTTGTGGGGTGTCTGATGTTGAAGTTGCTGTTTTTCAGTCTGGCTGCAGCCTGTTTTGGCTGGGTGTATGTGTACTTGATAAACAGCAACTACATTTCCAGAAGTAGAGCAGCTTTTGGAATGGGGCTGCCAGTTAGCAGGTGGGATAGCTGCTCTATAAAGGAAAAGCATGAAGGAGACAAGTCTTTTCAGGCTACTGTAACGCTTTGTCCAGCAGTGCCAGTAGTGATTACTGCTCAGAAATGTCCCCTCTCTGCCCTTGTTCACCTTCACCTCTCACTAGTTCAGACTGTGGGTCTTTTTGTTTTGGTTTGGGTTTTTGGGTTGGGTTTTTTTTTTGTAAGCTTGTGTTCCTTGATCAATTACTATTTTGCTTTGACAAAACAGATGTTCTTTGTCCATCTCTTCCTTACAGTGTTCCACTTTTGCTCTGACCTGGCTGCACCTGGAATTAGGGAGCCCCTTTGCTTTTGCAACTAGGAAACCAGTCTGCAACTCATGACTAATCACCCCCCTCCTTTGTATTACATTTGTTTGCAAAACAGACATTTCACTCTTAGATTTTTGCCTTAAAAATGTAGCATACTGGGCTTTCTGCACATCTGTTCTAGAAGTAGTCATCTCCCTCCAGACAGTGGGCATGATTGATCTGTTTGTGGGTGAACCGGCAAATACAGCTGATGCTCGTGTCACCCAGGGCTAGCCCTTGTTGCTGGTTTTGCTGGGGGGGGGTTGTGTTTGGGTTTTTTTGTCAGGGAGCGGCTGTAGCTTCTCAGCTCCTTTCCCTTCCTTCCTGTCAGCACAACCTGGCGCAGTGTGTGAGCCCCAGCCACAAGTGGCAGCTCCACCTCTTCCCCCTCCATATCTCTGTTGGATCCACTTCTGTAGCCACAGTGAAAGACAAGAGAAGCAGAGTTGGGTTAGATCAGCAACCAAATAGGACATGGTTGGAGTGCAGCTAGTAAAACTTGCCTGTCATCTGTACTGGTCTGGCAAGGCAGTAAATGGTCTTGACAGCTTACTGGTGTTTGATCTGTGACACTTTCCCAATGTAGTGCTTCTTTAACACTAGTGTCCCAACTTCCTTTCTCTTTCTCCTGTAGACAGGGACCATAGAGGAGAAGATATTCCAACGCCAGACCCACAAGAAGGCCCTCAGCAGCTGCGTGGTGGATGAAGAGCAGGATGTAGAAAGGCACTTCTCACTTGGGGAGCTGAAGGAGCTCTTCACACTGAATGAGACCACCACCAGTGACACCCATGACAAGTGAGTATACTGAATGACTAATAGATGGGGTCAGTTAAAAAACCCCTCTGCAGTTTGGTCTACTGATTCAGGTGTTCCTCAGGCAGCAGGAGGAAGCTCAGAGAGAGAGGGCCTCAAGTGTCCCTGCTTCTGAAGCTGTTAACCACCTGGAGATGACCACTTCCTTGCTGTCCTCCCTTTTTGTTGTCTTAGAAAAGCTGTGCTGGCTGGACAAGTGAGCAAGCTGTCTTGTCGCTGCCTGTGTTTGGAGGCTGTGAAATACTGCTGCTAATGAAAAGAGAGAAATTGATCAGAGCTGTTCAAATTGGTGGAGCCCAACTTGGTTCTTCCTTGCTGCTCTCCTGGTGGTTTGTGATCTCCCAGTGCTGAGCTGTTTCCACTGCCAGGGCTACTGCATCTGCTAAGAATTCATGGGGCCAACCCGAGTGCTGTTCTGGGGACTAAAAGAATCCTCTTCTGCATTGTCGGCCCTTCTCCCCCATCCCTGAGACCTGTGGTACTGTAGCCACCAGAAGGAGGACAGGGAGTGCAGGAAAATGCTTCACTGTGAAAGTTAAGACTCTTAGCTCAGGCAAGAAGTGAAGAGGATTAGTTGTAAGCTGACTCAAAGCTTAGCTCTGTGTAGGTATCTTGTCTGCATGGCAACTAGCTCTGCTGGCAGGGCTGCTGCTGCTGCTGCATTTCATCTCCTTACGTGGCAGCTTACTAGGGCATCTCCAAAACGGCCTGAGCGCAACCTGGTGGCCGTGGCAGGAGCCAGGATGGAGCAGTTTGGAGCACGGTGTGCTTTCTTGAATTCGGGAAGCCTGACACAGTGCTAAGAATGTGTTAGCAGTAGGGGTGTTCACTCCAGATCTGCTCTAAGCAACATCCCTCACCTTTCAGGGGAGACTCCTGATACGTCCTCTGGGTCCTGCTGGACCATTCCCCCATGGCTAAACATGGAGGGGGAGTGCCATTAGAAACAGAACCCCAGGGTTTCCAAAATGTGAGAGTCATTCCTTATCTGTTGCACGTGCCAGAAGGTAGTTGTGCATTTAAGTGAAATGTGGTAGTAATTAATCCTGTCTGAAAAGTTGCCAGCGTTGCAGGTGAAAGGGCGTTAATCCAAATGTTACTGGGCTGCATTTTTTTTTTTAAACAACGCGTATGCTAAAGAAGTGGAGGAACCTTGCACTGACCTTGTGCTGGCTCTGTTCCAGGATCAAGTGTCGTCGCTGTGTGAACGGCCACCAGGTACGGCCCCCTCCTGAAGGGTCCGACTGTACCTCCGACCTCTCCCAGTGGAACCACTGTGCCGATAAGCGGGGGCTGCAGGACTCCGTGCTGAAGGCTGCATGGGATGCTGCCGTCACCTTCACCTTTCATCATCACTCCCATGAGGAGCAGCGAGGGATTCCCTGACAGGTTACTGTCCCCTGTGGGGGCAAGGGCAGGCTGCTGTGGCAGTCCACCCTGCTTTAATCCCTTTCAAGGAAAGGGGCAGTATGTGCTGGATTGTTGTGTGGCTGTGGATTAGCAGGGCAGCATGGTTTCGGAGAGGCTGGAAGGCCCTTAGCATTGGTCAGTCTACTGCAACAGCAAGGAGTCCATGGCTTTTTCTCTGCTGTTGTATTGTGTGCCTGAAAAACAGCTCTTTGGGAACTGGGAATAACTGGACCCTGTGTACTTAATCAGATTCAGCACTGGTTCTCATGCTGTTCATGGTGGTGCTTTCTACTCAGATGAGTTTTATAGCACTTGATGTGCATGGTCATGTGTTCTTCTTTTGACAGCTATGGCTTGCAGCTGCTGATTGGAAACTTGCAGGATCCATTTCTGTTGTGAAATGTGAACCTTGCTGATTACTCAGGAACAAGATGATTTCTACAAGGGAAAAAAGTTTCAGCTTGTATGTTGAACATCTGGCCTGAAAGATCATGCAGGCAGTAGGAAATCAGGCTCTACTAAGGTAACTCCATTTCTAAAACCACTTGCTTTGCTATGGGCAGGATCCCCTGATCTAGCAGAGTGTTTTAATTAGATCACATTACAAGTCAGTAATAAAATTCACACTTTGGTACATTATGGGTCTTAATTATATTTTTATTATAAAAATGTCACAAAAGAACAAACTGTTCAAAACCTCTGTAAAATGACTGCAGACATTGGAGAGGGGCAACATGATTGGAAATAAACAGCAGGCTACTTGGTACATAAAGATTTTTTTTTTTAATAGGGTACAATTTTCCAAATATAAAAGGTCACGGCTGTTTTTTCTTTTTTTTCTCGTTTTCTACTCCCTTTAAATGGAAGGAGTTCTTATTTCGCAGAATGGTTGAAGTTGAAAGGGACCTCAAGGTCATATTGTCCAATGCCCCTGCTCAAAAACAAGGTTGCCTAGAGCTGGTTACCAAGGACCACAACCAGATAGTTTTTGAGTCTCTCCAATGATGGAGACGGTTATTGATGAGACACTGGCTGAAACATGAAATTTGTAACAACACCCAGTGAAATAAATAACTGCTTGTCCAGAGACCTGCAGAAGTCACAGAAGCTCATTTGGTATGTCCCACTTAAAATATTCAAACTGAGAAGATGGCAAGAGTTAGATCACCTGGAAATACAGCTGTTGACCCACACAATCTTGTGTGTCTCTTCACTGTGGCACCCTTCTTCCAGTGAACAGAAAAATGACAAGAACAACTGAATACTGCTTGAACCAGGGGAAGAAAACCCCACCTGTGCTGTGAAATAAGTCTTACTGGCCAGGAACTTAACTGCTTAGTTCAAGCTGATCGGTTTTCTCCTGCTCCTGTGTCCATCACATGACACTGATATAGTCAGCAAAGGCCTGGGAGGAGTCCCATGAGTCGTTGACCACACTGCACACAGCTTTGAGACGCCGAAGCGCTTCTTGAGCTGTTTCAGCGTCCTGGTCCAGCCAATTTTGGAAGAGGCGGAGGTGTGTGAATTGAATCTGTCCCCCTCTCTGCTGGATGTGGCCTTCCAGCTTCTTTGTGAACTCTAGGAGCCCATCAGGTTTGATGCAATTTGAGCTTTCCAGGGAAAGAAGGACAAAAAAGAAGTCATTAAGAGTCTAGGCTATCATTTGAGTAGTTTAAATTACTGTTCCTTCTAGTAGCTGCCACTGCAGGTACGTGGGGATGTTTCAATGCAAAGTACAACTTTCTTCAGCAATACAAAATGTGAGGGGTCTGTTAGTTTGATGAAAAACTAAACTGAACCACAGTAATATGAAGGGCTGGAAGCTTTTTAAAACTAAGGTGACAAGTTAAGCTCACTATCCTGGCCTCCTTACTGCTGACTTAAGTAGACCCAGCTGTGGCCTTAAAATGTTGCTGGACACAAGCTGCTGGCTAAGCAGTGCCAGGAGCACTTCAGTCTCAGCAGCTGTCAACTGCCTGGACCTACAGGTCCCAGTGCAAGCCTCAGCAGTAAATGATCATTTGTCTCTTCTTCCTGAGAAAATCTGGAGAGCATGTGTCAGGTCCTGGTGTTTTTAGGAGATTAAAAGGTCATTTCTCCTGCGTAAATGTGTAAATAAATATGAAGTTGCATGCTGGACTTAATCTTGTGAGAGGAACAGTAACAATCAGGATTCAAGGCTGCTGAAGGAGTGGCCATAGTTAAATAAATTGTCAAGCCTGTGTACTCTCATTAGGATTTAAAGAAGCCGGGGGGGGGGAAATCAAGCAAACCAGTCATTAGTATTGCAGAAATGCCACCGTCCATGTGTGTCATGAAGGTTACTGCCTGTGTCTCAAGAAGAGAGCAGCAGTTCAGGCTGAAGACCAAAGATGATGAAAGGAATGCAAAGGCATTCACAGGGTCTGACAGGGGCAATGACAGCATTCTCTCCCTATTCCAGGGCAGTGGGAACAGAGCTATTCATGCTGATGCCTAAGAATAAATGTACGTAGGGATGTTAGTTCTAGCCTACAGGGCTCCCAAGGGAGCAGCAAACCAAAGCTGCTTTTAAGACTGAGTTTGACTCTTATTACAAAAGGAAAGCAAGATGCCTCAGAGATGCTGGAGGTCCCTGAGGTTGTATGTGCCCATTGCAGTGTTTCTCTAAGCTTTTCTTTGGCACGTGTTCCCTTGAGGAAGGAACAAAACTATGCTCAGGCTTCTCCTGCTGTCTGAGCCCAGTTCAGCTCTGGCCCTCCCAAAACAAGAAATTCAGTGTGCTTAGAGCAGCAGAATACCTGACATCCAGCTGGCAAAGAGAAGAGGAGGAATCTTCAGAGAAAATGTCTGCAAGAGCAACCAGCCTGTGATTCCCTAAGAGGGGAGAAATATGGGTGTTAGATGCAAACTGAGAACTGTCTTAAATATTTGAATGGCCACAGGGCTGGGATAATAGTGCAGAAAGGAGGCTGTAAGCATGCGCACACAGCACAAAGGGCTCACCTCTGCACCCTCAGTTTGTCCCCCTCAGTGGCCTAAAGCACGTTCACCCCCAAGCTCAGTGTTCAAGGCAATGGAAACATTTTCTGATAGGGCAGTTTGTTTCACTAGAAAAATCCTGGTTTTGTTCGAGAAGTCAATACGCAGCTTTGTTTTAAAAATGGCCAAAAGCACAGGGTTAAACACAAACCTTAGCAATTAAGTGTATTTCAGGTGATCCCAAGCTTTCCTGTTTCATTTCATTAAAAGAACAGAAAACAATATTCTGGATTTACTGAAATTCATTTCTCAAACATTTCTACTTGGCCTGTGATCCAAAAAGCCTATCATTTCTGTAAATTCAGTTCCGCTTTGACACAAACCCTTCCTTTACTTGTTCCCATCCCTCCAGTGGCTGCCAACAGCTTTTAAGGCACAAAATGCCCAAACTTGGGCAAAACCTGTGCCTCTGAATGAGAGGCAGTGCATCTGCTGCTGAATCTGTTCCTGTTAAAGAGTCTGAAGCAGATTAGTGTTCAGTCAAATCTGGAGTTCTGCTGATACTTGATTTTGCTGCAGGGAAAAGCAACTGTAATGCCTGCACAGCACCTACGCTCTTGGTACATCACTGAACGCAACTGAAATTCTGCCTTTAAAAAATGAACTCAGTGCTCCTTATTTTGTGAACTAAATCCACTCTGTTCATGCATGTGTTAAGTTCAGCATTGAGGTCACCAGCTAGCAATGGTCCTAACTCCAACCCTGAAGTTACCTCCAAGAGGGCTGGTCTAAGGTCAGGGCCCCACACCAGCATTCACTGTACGCACCAAGGCGATTCCCAGGCAGTTTGAGGCTCTTCAAAGATGAATTTCTTTTCACTGTATTGATTATTTCCGACAAAAACTCAGTAGTAGAGCTTTCAAACAGCCGGCAGAAGGAAAACGTGATTTCTACGGAAGAAATGGATTGACAATACATGTTGGTGTACTCCCTGTGCACTTCATTATTCCATAATTACATCCTGCAGACAGCTCCAGCCCTTAATCTGTATGTAAGAACAAAGCTTCCCCAGCAGTGGATTGCACACAACAGCACTGCTGCTCTGCCACAAGAAGAGAGCAGAGACCACACCCAGGGAAGCGGCTTTGCCAGCTGACCCAGTTAAAGGCCAATGTGCTCTGCAGGTTAAAAATCTTTGGTTTATAGCCAAGACTATGGACTCTTCTCTGCAGCATATGCCAGCTTTGCAGCTGCTCCTCTCTCTGCCCTGCTGCCACAAAGAACGAGACACGTTCCCACTCTGCCAACAGCTACAGATCTGCTCCAGGGACAGTGACGTTTGGTTAAACCTTACACATCTGAAGGTCACCTCTTAAATGTCAGCCAGGCAAAAGCAGCCACCTGCAGCATCTTTCCAAGCAACAGCACCCAGGAGTTTGCTGTACCTTGCAGGATGGGATCCTGAAGCAGAAGCAGAACTTCCTTCTGGTGCTCTGCCAGGTTCACATCGTGAAAGCTCAGTTTCTTCAAATCTGGATTACACTCTAAAAGCAAAACAAGTTCTCAGGTAAAGTACTGTACATCCTTGGGATAAAAAGACCCTGACCCAACTACAGCTAAAGCCCAGAAACTGAGCTGGACTGTGGATAATTTGTGCTGGATTATGGGTAATTAAAAAGGAACCATCCTGCTGTGCAGGATCATTCACATGCTCAGCACAGAAAGTGGGATGGCTGACACCCACTTCCTTTTCTCAGGAAACTTCAAGGATATCCACACTGAAGAAATGGACCCACCTAAGCTGGCTTCATGCTAAAGGATGGAAGATCACAGCAAGGAAGCTACTCTCTATGTTGCAGTGATGCTACCTACAGGTTCGCAGAGTACCTTTGAGCGCCTCCAAAAGGAGCCCGAGCTCCTGAGAACAGGGTAGTGTGGCACTGTCAAGGGACAACTGCTGGAGGGACTTCGACGCCTTGAGCACTGGCAGCAGGAAGGCAGTGTGCAGAGGTTCCCTAGGGAATCGGATCTCCAGCTGCTCCAGGCAGCTCTCTAAGGGAAGAAAAACAAACGACAATGAAAGAGCTTGGCCTGGAGTGACGATCTTCAACATAGCTAGGTCCTACAGCAAGCAAGCAGTCCGTGTGCTAGACATGACTATCGTTTAGGTTGGCAGAAAGTGCCTATGTGACGGTGCCCTGCTTCACAGAGCTCTATGGCAACTCAGACCTATGGTAATGTAAATCACTTAAGGCTTACTTCAAGACTCCTGCCAGACCACAGGGCCACAAATTTCTACTGCGTTCTAGCAGTGAAACAATGCTTGAGCAAAGATCACCCTTAACGCACAAACCAGCCTGTGTCTTCCTAGATAACAGCTTTTCACTGACCCCACTCCATACTCGCTCCGGCTTTGCTTACTGCTTTTCTGGTCATTCAAGATCTAATAAGGGTGATGAGAGACCTGTGAGCTGAGAACACGCTGCTATAGCTCCCAGACTGTGATCCAGAGGCTTGGGCAGTCCTTTGCAATCACCTCTGGTATTATGATGACCAAGAGATGCTTTCCCTCTGCTTAAGGGTCCACTGAAGGCTTAGAGCCTCACAGTCAATAGGATGGACAAAGCAGAAGCTTCCAACCAATTTACAGATCTGGTGGGATACACTCCCTGTGGGCTGCATGGTCACTGCTAGCAGGTTATGACTGGCCCTGTACAAAGCTGATGTTGCAGCAGTCTGGCGTACAGCAATAAAATGCTTTGTCCAAGACTCAGGCTCCACAGAGGATGTCGCAGACTGGAAATGACGAACTGCAACACCATCTAAATCAGAAAGGTGAGGCTGTAATTCCTTGATTACACATCACTCTAACAATGTAGAGTTCAAATCCGCATGCCAAGCTTTTACGGCTCTATCTGCCATGTCCTGGTCATCACTCAGAATGATGATTCCTACCTGTGATTTCTGCCTCACTGCAGCTTGGATTCCCCCCTGGCCTGTTCCCCTCCAGCTGGTTTTTGAGGTCGAAGCTGACTGAGACCGTGTGGAGCTGGGGAAAGGCGCTCAGGATGCAGCGAACAAGCTCCATGCAGGGCATGTGGGAGAAGACGTCGCTCACGCGCACCACGCGGAGGTGGCAGTCTGAGTGGCGGGAGAGGGCCCGGAGCCCAGAGAGGATGCAGAAGATGTTAGCACCCAGGCCTGGAACGGCATTTGTACAGAAAGGTGTTAGCTGTGCCTATACAGACACCAACGCACACACAGCTGGAGCTGCACCAGTGACCAAGAAACCTAAGTCAAAGGATAAACTCACAGACTGCTTTATCCACACGTTCTTAAGCTAGACTGTGTATATGGGAGGTGGAGATCTGGCTCTTCCCTTCACCCTCTCTGGATGGCATTTAAGCGCAAGGCCGGAGGCTGTTCTGGGGCAGAAGGTCCCCATTCTCTCCCTCAAACAAGTCCTCACGCTCATTACACATCTCTACTGATGCCATTCTCAAGATTGGGTACCCATACTCTTACAATGCCCATTCCAGTAAAAATAAAATAGGGTAAACCTGAGCAATAAGTCAGACCATTAGGCTGAGGCTTGAAGGAAGCAAGCTGTTCACACCACTAACCATTGTAAGACAGAACCAAGTTTTCTAAAGACACCCAGGAGCTCAGCAGGTTACTCAGAGTCCGACATGTCTCCCCAGTCAAAGGAATGGAAAACAATTCCAGCGTGGACACACTTCGGAAGCGGCGAGCAGCTTTCAGAGAAAAAATCCCAGCAGATCCTCCTCTTTTCTTACAACCAGCATGGCCAGCACACAGAGATCCTGGGGAGGAACTAGTCCAGTTCTCAGCGTTTTCTCCTTCTGTGGTGCTGTTTTTGTTGAGTAACCCTGAATTATCCTCTCTAGCAACAGTAAAAACAAAATCATATAGGTCTTCTGGGTCAGCATATGGTCCCCTGCTTCGTCTGAGGCAGCGACGTTTCTTCCCCACTGCAGATTTTGTCCGTCTGCGTGTCTTTCGAAGAACGGGGTGACAGGACAGCTGCTCTGAGATGCAACGAGGAGAAGATCCTCCCTGAATGCTGGTGTGGTCACAGGGTGCCTTGCTGCTTGCCTCACCACATGCTTGGTTTCGCAGAGGAGGACTTCTCAGTCCGGAGAGGACAGAGTTCAGGCAAGCATCAGCCCCGCATCCATTCACGTCCACATCAGCCTCCTCCAGGGCCCTGGGGGATCTCTTCTGGTTCCCACCATCACTCCACTCCCTCTCATCACAACGGTCCCTCTCTGCTCGCTCTTGTGCTGACTCCTGGCTTTGGGCTTTGTCCTCCTCACTGCAAAGGCCGCACGGGCTGCTGTGATATGCGAGGGCATTTCCTGAGCGCCAAAACCCAGCACTCATGCTCAAAATGAGAACAAGAAGAACCGTGTCGGGAACAGGCCAGGAATACATGGACACTTGGCTGACAGAGCCATGGTGAATTAGCCGGTGAAGAAGTAAAACCAGCGAACGCCTGATGGACTGGTCAGAGGAGAGGAGGTGCTGGAACTTCAGGATCCGCAGGGAGCCAGCCAGGTTTTCAAGCACTTTCTGGTTGTGCTCAGCAGTGAGCTCCACTGCGCCCTGCAGCATGTTGCAGAGGGTAAGCTGGGAAACGTGCGGGGAGCTGTGGAGCAGCGGCGAAAAGTGATGGTCATTGAGACGCCAGTCAGAGGAAACATCCAAGACACCGTGAAGAACGTTTGAGAAGAATGTTTCAAGGAACTTCTTCCTCCAACAGGGTATATTCTGCAATTAAACAACAGGGCCACATTAACAAAAAGTCAGCCACAATTTTTCTCGCTCTTTTTAAGTTAAATTATTGCTATCTGCTAAGCTGGCAAATGTGGTATCCAAAAAAACCTACCACTAGCACAACTGATACTACCTTTCCGGGTCTCAACATCTTTCCTCAGTGTATCTGTTGAAAAAGTGAGTTACTCCCATCACTCACTCTTCATCCTGCTTCCGGCCTAATTTAAACCTGCTCAGTGGTCTGAAGCTAAGCCATGTTTTTGCCTATTAAAAACCACATCATCAGGAATTTTCTTCCCAAGCATCTATTTATAGGCTGTGATTAAGTTGTCTGTTAACGATTCTTTTGTGATGCTGAATCAATGGAGCTGCTTCAGTTTTCCTATGTAAAACCATTCTTCCACACTCGGTGTCTTCTGTAAGTATTTTTTTGGTGCTTTCTATGATATGAGCACATTTCTTTTTTTTTGCCAGCATAGCCATAAGCATGATATAAGATACTGTTTTTATCCTCTGTTTCCCTAAGAACTACATCTCTAAAGACAGGACTTATTCTTTCAACAAACTTGCTGTTGTGTGATGAAGGGTGTGGCTGTACACTACAGTTCCTTTTATGAACCCCGTTTCCCAAAATTATTGTAATACCAGGGTCATGCCTTGGTCCTGAGCTCTACGAATGCTTATAAACAAGCACCAGCAATCAGTCGGAGGTGGCCAGGAGCACTGGCAGGCTTCAAAACAAAACCTCGTGGAAGATGTAGGAAACAGGGCACCTGTGTCATGCCCCTTCTCCCACTGGCAGCGTCCCCTCACCTCCGAGTTGGGCGGCCTGGTTTTCATCACGTCGTCCCACAGCTTGCGCCAGATGGGCTGCGTTGAGAGGCCTGGGAGAAAAAAAAATAATCAACCAGGCACTTTCACTCCTTCTCCCTGTCCAAGTGCTCTACCCTGGAGCTCGCAGGGGTGCTGGGCGGACAAGGGGCAGCGCTGTGGGGTGCAGACCCAGACCCCTGCAGCAAAAGGACGGTGCTTTGTGGTGAGAGGAAGACCACCACCTTTTAAGGGAGGTGAGTTGAAAAATGGTGGGTTTTGTTGGTCCTCAAAAGGAGGAGAGTTACAGCAGGGCCCGCACTGCTGCGTGAACCCTGCCCGGGTATGGGACGGGGCTCAAGGTTTTGGACGCGGGAGGTGTCCAA